TTTTTTTTTTTTTTATATTGTTATATAAATCGGGTGAATCTTTCAAAATGGTAAATAAATTTTGTTCATGTTGCAGATCATTTTAACAATCTTTAATTTTTTTTATCTTGAAAATAAATCGGGATGTTAAAATAATATTTATCTTACAAATTTGTGTTTATATCAATATTAATCTTTCCAATCATTTTTTTACATTCGGCGGTTTATTTTAAAGTAAAAATCTTTACATTAAATCCATTGCTAATTTATTACAATAAAAAATTCACGTAGTTGGAGAAAATTGTAGATCATAATCATCATTAAAATGATATACACAGATTAACCACATCAATGTCAAATTGTAATCAAAACATATACACGGCGAACATATTACAAAAATACTATGTAAGTTTCTCGCTCATTTTTTTCATTTTTCACCAATAAAGATTTTTTTTTTTTGAAATTTATGAAAAAATCCCTCCCATGATTCTTATTCAATTTTTTTGACTTTATTTTAAAACATTTAAAGGAAAGATTACAAGTATATTTTATGGGTACATTCCATTTTAAAGGAAATAAACATTTATTATTTATTGTCTAAGTGATAAATATTATTGATTTATCTCATTAATAAATGTTTATTATTTATTTTTTTCCTTGCATGATATAATCTAAATTTGGTTATTAATTTTTAAATTTAAACATTTAAAGAAAAATATCACAAGCAGATTTTTTGGGTACAATTCATTTTATCTTAACTTTCATATAATCACATTCTTAACAAACTAATTAATATAATTACATTTATCCAACCGAATTTTTCAAAATATAATTAATATAACATTTTAGCTAATTAATCTTTTGTGTAACCGAATTTATATCATTAACAAACTTGCCAAAATATTTGAAATTAAAATAGTAAGATTATTCTTACGGGTATAGTTACCAGAATATTAAACACTTTAAAAAATATTTTGAAAATAAATTTGAATTATTACGTCTTTTACTCTATTTGAAATTTAAAATTAATTTTTTAAGTATATGCAAAAACATTATTATTTATTTTTTCCTTATGTGGTACAATCTAAAATTGGTTATAAGATTTTTAAATTCAAACATTTAAAAAAAAAAAGACCACGAACAGAAGACCACGAACAGATTTTTGGTCAAATTTTATTTTATCTTAACTCCATATAATCACATTCCTAACAAAGTAATTAGTATAATATTTTTTTATCCACATTTACATAATCAGATTTTTTTAAAAAAATATAATTAATATAATATTTTAACTAATTAATCATTTGTACAACTTGATTTATCTTATTAACAAACTTGCCAAAAACTTTTTGAAATTAAACAAAAAAAATTGGATGATTTTTATTTGTAAAAAAATAAAAATAGCTTCACGTTAAAGTTTTTATTCTTTCCATTATTTTTTGTACATTGACAATCATATATTGGTAATTGATTAAAAAAAATCAAAACCGTAAGGTTTAATAATATTCCTTAGATAACAAATATTGTACAAAGAGAAGTATTTAGTAATATATATTTTTCATTGTTTGTATTTATTTTATTTCCATAATAGATAAGAGGTGAAAATATAAAGAATGGCATTTAAAATAAAGTCAAAAAAATGTTTAAAATATGAGTCCATCCGTGCATCGCACGGGATATACACTAGTATATTTTGAAAGGAATGACCATTCCAATAAAGATTGCAAAACCCATCTCCATAGGATTAGGCATTCTATAGCTAATGAAAGGAATGACCATATTCATATTTGTAGGAATCAATTTTTTCAAAAAAAATAATTAACA